GAAAGAGTAAACCTTCTTTCTGGAATCACCTCTACTGGTTTCTGAGATATCTTTTACTTCAAGACAGAGAAATGGGGAAAAAACTGCATCAGCTGGAAGTCCCCATCCTGGTGCTTGACATGTGTCAGAGCTATTACACAAATCTTCCCAGTAAAGTGACCCCAAGGATGATCTGTGCTGGATTCCCTCTGGAAGAAGGCAAGGACTCATGCACAGTAAGTCACATGTGTCACCTTTGCCTTCTGACACTTGGTTTCTAAAAAGGGGAGTGTTAAAACCTCATTAAGAGCTGTTTTCTTCCAGACAGGCTGTAGGTGATTTACAGTGAAAGATTCCTTAATAGTAGGATTTTAATTACTCATATTGCAGAAAGAGGTACTTGCCTTGAACAAAGGTTATTTCTTTCTCTGCCTTTTAAAAAACAGAAACCCCCAAACATGTGAGCAGCTGGGACCTCTTGTAGTGGAACTGATATAAAAAACATAGGGAGTGATGTTAGCTCATAATAAGATTCTGTTGTCCTTGTGCAGGGTGATTCTGGTGGCCCATTAGTTTGTCCTTCAGAAGATAACTCAGGATTTTACACCCTTCATGGAATCACTAGCTGGGGCTTGGGATGTGGAAGGAAGAGCTACCCAGGAGTGTACACAAATGTTGGTGTTTTTGTTGACTGGATCAAGCAGAGTGTCAATAGTAGTGGTATGTATGAAAAAAACAATTAAAGTAATCTTTTTGCTATTGCTAGATGCTTAATTTGAGGTCTTTTCCAGGGTGCCATTTTTATATGTGGGTGTCCAGCACTTCCTGAAATCTTGGCTGTTTAAAATACCCCTAGGTGAATGCCCAGAAGCAGACAAATCTAAATCAGTAGTCACTTCTGAAAATCTTATTTCTTCTGAGTGTATTATTATTCCCCTCTCTATTGCATTTCTTGTGTTGATGAATATGTTTCCCTTACTGGTGCTTTGCTGCTTTGTTTCTCAGGGTTGGGAGGAGGTAGGGAGGCATGAACTGGCACATGATGACAGCTGAGTCCACTTCAACAAGTTTACAGCATGCCTTTGTTGGTGATCTTTGCAAAGTTTACCCTGTTTTATTTTTCCCCTTTTTGTAGATCTCTCCATTTTCATGGTGTGACTGTCAACAGAGCAGTTCTGACGGACCGCGTTGTAAAACACTTCCAAAGCACTAATGTCACTGAAAGCAAAATTTGGTGAGAGCGTGTTGGTTCATGACTGGTGAACAGATTCCAAAGTAGCTGGTACTTACCCTGGTGAAATTACTGCTGATTTTCCTGAACTGATACTTTGGCTTTACATGTGTGTGCTTGGGGCAGGCACAAGTTGCTTGCAGGCTTCTGACTCTCTGTTAACCTGTTTTAGAAGGAGAGGGAAAATAAGCCACCATATGCCAAGCATGTCCTTGAATGTAGTACTGGAGAGTATAAAAATACTTCAGAAAAGAGATTAAATAAGTGCCTGTTTGAAACAGCTGAAGGGGCAGTCACTTAACCTTTCAGTTACGGTCACTGAGAGTGTTACCTCTGGCTTGGAGGGGACCTAGGCAGCGGCTGTTGGAGTGTATCAATGAGGAGCAGAAGGACACTGTCTGGTCATTAGTGATGTGAATCAATCCAGTTGCTAGGAAAAGGATATTAATACAGTTCCTGTTTTAACAAATTGAATGTTGTTTAAACAGATTGAAATGTTTCAAAAGATGGGTGCTATAGGCCAAGGGCCTTTGGCACCATGCAAGAACTGACAACTATCCTAATTAACCTATACATGTAATTAAAGAGGTACTGTGTAATCCATGCACTGCAAACTGAGCGCATTTACTTGTAAATGACAGTTTGTTTAATGCCCAAATGGCTGCTTACACAAGAACTTGTGATGACAGGCTCCAATTATCTTTGTAGATTATTCAGTGCACAGTCTTAGTGTTTAGAAATTCGATCAGTATGATAGTACGATAGGTAACACCAATATAATCCTTCTTTGACTCAATGGTCTGGAAAATAACTAGAAAGTAAGTAAGATTTCTCATTTTGTTTTTGTTGATATTAATGGCAAAAATCTTTAGAGATGTGTTTCCCATATATGCATTTGTTGCCAGTAACCCTGCTTTTTTGATTATATTAGTTTACAACTTCTCATTTTTTTTAAGATACAATTTTATTGTGTAGCTGGGGAAAAAAATACTCTCTCTACTTTTATTCCTAGATAAATATTGTAAACATTTTTCAGCAGTTTCTTCTCTTCACTGTAAAGTTTTAGGCAGAAACCCACAAAATAATCTGGAGCATGAGCTTTCTGTGAAACTGTGAAAATACTTTATGGTGGAAGGACTATGGACAAATTCAGATTAAGTGTAAAGCACAACTGTATGATGTTATTGATAGAGTGTGCTTGTTCTATCTTTGATAAGCTCTTTGAAGAGGTCTTCAGAGAGCAATGGAGGGAAAATATCCTTTGTAATTTCTAATTCTGGAAGTCTGTTAATGTTCAGTTATGGTGGAATTTGCTATTAGCTAACCATATCAATTTAACTATGCTGGGAGCAGATGTGTCCAATCACTCAGTTGCTATTCCATTTTGTTTAACAAGGACAAGATGATTTAAAATACCCCTGAAGTTTTTACCTGTTTATTAATCTAATACAAGGACATCAAGTGGCTGTGTTCAGAAAAATAAAAAGGTTGAGGGAGAACTACAGGTGGTATCAGGTGTACCAGCCCTATTGAATGCAGTGGTTATATGCTGCTAAATTGGTATCTCTTAAAAAAAAAATCCTTTCATCTATTTGGAATGCTGTCTTAAATAATTTGTATTTTATTTGATTGTCAGGGTACTTGCTTTTTGCTTGACTGCATGATGTTGACCTTTTGTGTTTCCCTAGCATGGTTTCTCCTAGCAAGTAGTCTATTTTTGCTTTTGATTGTTGTGTCTTTTTAGTCTGTTGTAAGCTGACAGTCTTTTTTAGCAATAATGTGAACTGTTTTGTGATGCAAATGAAATCTGATTTAAAAAAAAATAAATACTATCAATGGAGTTCATGTAATTGAATTGTATTTTAGTTTTTACAATATTTATATCAAGTCCACTTTAATTCTTGACAGTTATATGAGGCTTTCCTGATAGGATAATAGCAGCCTACCTGAGTACTGAGGTAGGCTCAGGTGCCCTGTGTGCTTAAAATCTGGGATATAAACCTTCTTCTGTTGACATGTGAGTAAAAAAATCTTCTACTAATGGTATGTGGAAGCAAATGAAGGTTCCTTGCATTGTTCATTGGAACTGCGATAAATATTTAGAATAAAAGTCTATGTCCAAAAGTACCTTGTTCTTACCTTTGGTTAATATGAGCTTCTGTGACCATAAATTTTCCTGCTTAGCTCTGAAATGGGGGTCCTGCTCTGTATGTGTGCATGGGCACCCACCCATACTGCCAACGACACACCTAGAGAGCCTTTGCAGGAGTGGCTGTTGGAGCATTTTTGTAACTTTTGTTGAAAGGGGGAGATCTTAATCAGAAAAAAGTATATTCCCATTGTTAAAGCATGTCTGGCAATAGTACATAAGAGGAAGCAGTTGTCTAAAATCGGGGTTCTGGCTGTATAGCCTGACAAAAGATGTTAAAACCATTGTTGATCTCTGACTCTATGGCATTACTTCTTGAATTCTTGGTTCATAATTCTTTTACTTTGCCACCTCTTTCTTTTCCAGCCTAGGACAGCACAGTGACTTCCTGCATGGTGCTGTTCTCAGTCACTTGCACTTCCGTGAGCTCCCTGATGAATCCAGAGGTGTGTGACACTGGCACAAGGAGTTAATTTCCTTCAGAAACAGCTGTAATGTGTAGCTCTGAGCCTCTCTCTCTTTTCAGCAGCCTGTATAATAGACTGAGAGTTATGTTTTGGTAGCGGTTCCCCTGCTTTTGTAGTAAGAAGAGGAAAGTTAATATTAACAATTTTTTTTTTTTTTTTAAAGAGTATAGTGGGTTATTAATTCTCTGGTCTTCAGTAGTCAGTACTTCAGTAGCACTGGAGACTGAATGTATTTTTCTTTCACTCTTTTTACAAGGCACATAAAATACAAGCATTCCAAAAACTAATACATCAGATTTACTATCTTCTTATAAGACCAACTACAGCTTAGCACACTGTGACATTATTCCTGGCATTCCTTCCTTCCTTCCCCGTAGGTTTGAGCATTTTGTTTTCTGTTTCCTGACAAAGACGTGTTTGTGTGATATGGGCATGCTTTTATTTAAAATAAACTATTTTGAACCTTGTGGCATAGGGTTAGACTTGAGAGTCTTGTATTTTCTTGTAATTTATTTTTGTGACTGTCACCAACTTGTGTGCCGTTGTCCTACACACTTTAGAGGGAATAATGGTACTTAATATATATA